GAACCGCTTCCTGGACATCTCAGATGTACGTATAGTCTGATGGAGGGAGGGCTGTCATATTCAAAATGACAGTGGGATGCAGGGCCAAAACAGCCCCTCAGCCTGGCCAGGGTGCTCCCAAGACTCCAGTGTGGCAGCACATGTTTGAGCTGGTGCTGATGGAGAACCCTGAGGGCTGCTGGGGTGCGTGCATGCACAGCACCAAGTACCCCAGCAGCAGCTGTGGAAGGACTTGCTGTGCAGGGCACCTGAGAAGCCCTGAGCCAGTGCCATCATGCACACACAAGTTTGAGTAGTGCCATGTTTCAGGGACATCCTCTGACGCTGCAGAGGATGGCCAAAAATGCCACCCCCCAGGAGGACCCAGCCACCACCACACTAACAGGGGCATCTGTAGTGCCACCCTCAGGGTGTAGGTTGTATTGCCAGCCCCATGGATGGCACTGCCCACTGCTCCACCCCTTCTCCTTTCTTAGGCCATTGAAGAAGGCAACCTGGACTCTCTGGACCACTCTGATTTCCAGAACACAGACATTCCATTTGAAGTGCCGCTTCCAGCCCAGCAGCACGTGCCTGTGAGTGTCTTCTGCCTTCCTCAGCTCCCATGAACGGTGGTGCTGCTCCAGGGCCCTCTGAAGTGGGCCTGGGGCAGGGGAGGGGCAGCAGGTGCTGCAGGAGCTGGGGTTGTGCTCAGCTCTGCCCTCAGCCCCTCTCCCCACCACAAACACACGGGCAGCCCCAGCACACACACGTGCACACACGTGCTCTCCCTCATACTCCCAACACACACACACACACGTGCTCACCCCCCCCATATTTACACATGCATGTCCTGTGTGCACCCCCGAGTCCCGCTCCCCAGTGCAGCTGGGTCATGGCACGGCAGGTGGGAACAGGAGGTGTCCTGGCCTCTGCCCTGCAGGAGGAGAAGCGGGAGGAGGTCAGGGACTGGGTGCTCACCATGTCCATGGACCAGCGGCTGGAGCAGGTGCTGCCGCAGGATGAGCGGGACACGTTCGAAGCCTCCCTGGTGGCTGCGCAGACGGGCGTGCGCTCCCTGCCCTGCGTGCTGACAGGTCAGCTCCGGGACAGCCCACACGGGACAGCTCACGCGTGAGGGGAGCACACGGTGCCGTGAAGGGAGGGGGGAAGTCAGGCTGTGCATAGGGAGATGGCTGTGGGACCAGCTCTGCTGGAGATGGAAGGAGCTGTTTTTTACGGTGAAGGTGACTGAGCACTGGAACAGGCTGCACAGAAGCTATGGCTTCTCCATACCTGAGACAGCCTAAATCCATCTGGATGTGGTCCTGGACCACTGGCTGTCACCCTTCTTGAGCAGGGTGGGGGACTGACCTGAGGTCTCCTCCAGCCTTCACTGTTTCGTATTTCTGTGGTTCTGTGAGAGCTCAGTCTGGCACAGCACTGCCCAGAAGGCTGCCCAGGCTGGCCAGCGCTGACACACGGGCACATGCAGTGCCTGTCCCTGCTTTGCCCCGCTCTTCAGGAGCTGTCTGTCCTGGCCAGCACTGTCCCTCCCTCATTCACTCTCCAGACAGCAACTTTGGATTAGAGAGGGGAGGATCAGGGGTGGGCCACCAGCAGCAGCTCTGGCTCCAAGGTCAGGAGCAGGCTGCTAGCATCTGGCATACTTGGGTGTCCTCGCCAGAAGGACAAGCCTTCCTTGCCTTTGATCCCACTGCTGTGGGCACTTCCTTCCTCATTCTGGGCTCCAGAGGCTGGACTGTTTCCTGCACTGCCCCATGGCAGCATCCCCAGCCAGCTGGCCATGGCAGAGGGAAGGGATGCTCCAGGCAGAGGTCCTCCATGGGTCTCAGCTTGGTTCTGAAGGTGTCACTGTGTGAGCAGGGTACCCTGTGCTAAGGAACAAGATTGAGTTCAAGCGGGCAGGCCGAGAAGCCAACAAGGACACGTGGAACAAGTTCCTGATGGCTGTCAAGGTGAGCCAGGCACCCTGTGGGGCAGGGAGACAGGCTGCAGGGTGTTCAACCGCTCATGCTGACTATAAAACATTGTCCTGCTGGGTGGAGATAAGTGAACCAGTGTGGTTTTAGCGTATCCACAGTCTGCTGCTGGGCAGGGATTAAACTTATTCAGGCAGCTGGGGCAGTTCCATCTCTGCCTGAGCAGCTCTGGCAGCCCCCAGGGGTGCCCGTGGTCAGGGGGTGATGGTTCTGCTCCTTGCAATTGCCAAGGCCTCTTTCATTCTGCAGACATCTCACAGCCCTGCCTGCCAAGATGTGCTCAAGTTCCTCAGTCAGTGGTGTGGAGGACTCCCAAGCACCAGCTTCTCCTTCCAATGAGCTGGACCATGGCAGATTTCAGTCTTGTTCTTCAGCATCCTCCACTTCCACCCTCAATAAATATGTTTCTCAACCCTGCTGTGCTCTTGTTTGTCAAGGGAGGCCAAGGCCAGGAACATGTGTAGCTCCCAGGGACAGGTCCATAACCCTGAGCACATGCAGCTGCTCCTGGCCTCAGCCAAGCTATGCTCAGTGTGCACCCTCCACCCTTCTGGGGGATTGTCACACTGGAACCATGGAGCTGCCTACATCCCTGTGCCTGGCTAAGGGCAAGCATGGAGATGGCCTTACACCCCAGCTGCATTGTCATTTCACCAGTGGGCCCAGCTCCCAGCAGGCATCCACCCAGGGAAGCCACTTACAGCCACCAGTGTGAAAAAGGAAAAGTTTATTTACTCAGGAAGAACAGATGCTTACGACAAAGGGGCACTTCACCTGCCGCTCCCCAGCTTGCCTGAGGACAGGCAGAGCAGCTGACCCACCAGGCCCCAGGCCAGCCCTGGCCCTTGCCAGGTCCCAGCACCTCTGCCTGCCCCCACCACTGTGTGTATAAGGCAGATGGAGCCAGCAAAGCTCCATTTATTGTGCCAGCAACAGCCTTGCAGCTTGGGGAGAGAAGGGAGAGCATCCAGGGCTAAGGCTGCCTGGTGACCCAGGGCTGCTTGTGTCAGGCACCTGCAGGGTTTGTCCCAGATGGGGCTGGAGGAATGGGGGGAGAGGCACACCCTGCAGCCCCCCTGCAGCCCACCCTACTGTGCAGGAGGATGCTGCAGGTGCAACATCCCCTGGCTCAGTGGCAGCACTCCTGCAGCAGCACCTGGGAGTGAAAGAGCACACCTGAGTGCCAGCCCAGGCGCAGGGCCGGGATGCCTCTGCCCAGGATCTGCAGCATGTGCTTGGAGATGTTTCAGTGGGCTGGTGTCTGTGGGGGCCCCAGCATGGCCCCTCCTGTCCCCCAGACACAGCCCAGGCACTGCACTCACCTGTCCAGCTAGGTGCAAGACTCAGCCAGCCCCCCAAGGAGTTGCTGCATCTCACGTGATGGCCTCTCCTTCACTGTACCTGGCCCAGCCAGCTAAAAAGAGGGGGGGAAAAAAGGGTGGAGGGTCACAGGGATATGAGAAGGGCTGGGCCAGGTTTGGGAAGGGGGCCTGGGGGGGTGGGCAGGGGCAGCATTTGCCCAGGACATAACAGGCTTGGCCATCAGAGGGATGAAAGTCCCTCTCCAACTACCCAAGATGAAGGGGTGCCAGTCTGTCACCAAGGTTGGCTAAGAGGTTCAAACTTGACATTCACCCTGCACCCCCACCCCCTTGCTACTCAGCATGCTGGTATGGGAACAAGGGCCCAGCAGCACCCAGCACTGCCAGAATGCAGCAAAAGGGCAAGCAGTGGTGGGGCAGAGGCAGGGAGACCCAACAGGCCAATGGGACATACCTGCTCTTTGCTGTATCTGCGTGCACAGGGCCCAATGCCCCGGAAGATCAGGGCCACCAAAAAGCACCTGCCAGACAGCACAGCTTCTGCAGCCACCAGCACCATGGAGGGGAACCAGAGCGCCAGGGCTGTGTCCTGCAGAGCAGAGGGCTAGAGGTCCCACTGCACCCAGCCTGCACCAGCAGAGGGGCTGGGGGGGCCGGGGGCAGAAAGAAAGGGAACGCAGTGAGAGGAGAGGAGGGAGAGAAAGAAGGAAAACAAAGAAGAGAGGAAGCAGAGACAGAAGGAGGACGGGTGGGAGGGGGTGGCCCTGCAGACTCACATAGATGCGGGTGGTGTTGAAGGGACAGTCGTTGGTGGCGATGGCGGCGCGGGCGTCGCTGGGCAGCGCGGGGCTGTGGCAGCCCTGCAGCAGGTGCCGGCCCCGGCTGTGCACGGTCAGCGCGATGGCCAGGGCCAGGCCCACGCTGCACGCTGCGGACAGCAGGCAGCTCAGCAGGGACACGCTCAGCAGGGTCCAGTGCTGCAGGCAGCGAGAACACGAGAGCAGGGCTGGCCAGAGCCCGGGGACACGGCAGGGCAGGGAGCAGGGGTGCTGGGAGCCCCGCGGACATTCGCAGCCCGCGAGCACTTGCAGCCCCCTGCCCTGCTAGCGCGGCTCAGCCCTGCGGGGGGCTTCCG